TGAGACCGCGGCCACCATCATGGCAATTGCGACGACTACGAAAACACCGATGAGGGTTTTATTTGCTTTTTTGCTCATGAGCTACTGTCCCCCCAATTTAGGAGATTTTTTTGGGTGCAGAGAATCTGTTCCATTGGGCCAGTCGATGATCCCGTGTTTCTTTACGGGGGCTATAGAGTGGACGCATAAACGTAAAAATTCTCATTATATCAGCATGATAAGATAAAATACTACTTGACTTTTTTTGATATAAGTACTACTAAAATCACTCCTTTTATAGGCCTAGTTCCCTAAAACTGGGGCTTTAGTGAGGAATAGAAAACCTATTAGTAGTAAAATTTACAAAAATAGTCGAGTAAAAATAGGAATTTAAAAATCATGCTCAATTTAAACGCCGTTGCTGCTCATCAACAGATACCTTTGATTCATGTTGTCCATGAAGACGATGAACTGCTCGCAAACTCGCCTGAAGCTGAGTGGTATAAAATTTTGCAAAGTTTGCCATGGGAGCAATATCGATCGATAGCCGCTGATTATTACAATGCTTTGTACCATTTCAATAAATCAAAACCCCATAGCCAAAAAAGCGGCGAATTATCTGAAGAGCATAAAGAAACAGCCACTCAACGCTTGCTACTCGAGCGGGCTACCATGGATGAAACTGCCCCGGTGTTGTCAGAAGAAGAATTCATAACCGACATACTTCCAACCGTCTCCCCATCGATGATTGCACCAGGCAAGACGCCGGATCGGCTTGGTGGCAAAAAACCTAAATGTTTTTTTGCCCTGTTCAAAAGCTTTATCGGCGCTTCGCTGATGGGTTTGGAAGCTATTCCCGAAAAAGTTCATTTGCTACTGACTTCCAACCTTTCCTTTGCTCGGGTTAGCGGGTTTATCCCCAAAGCAGACAATGATCAGTATTGGTTCAAATACGTTCCCAGCATTCGCAAGCTTGAGCAATTTGATCAGATCATGACCGATTATGGTCTGTGGGATCGCTTAAAAATCAAAGAAGTCATTGAAAATTTAGAACAAGGGCTCATTAAAGAAGAAAAGGAGCTTGTCGGCGATACCACGCATTTTCATGCTTACTCGGGTTTTGAGACGGTCACTTACATCGATGAAAAAGGTAAAGAACAGCGAAAGTCGCAATCGAAAACCACAAAAAATTGCCGTTGTGAAGACAAGGACAATTGCGAGCACCCATGGGAACTTGCTGATGATGGTGCCGGCACGATTGTGAAAGCCTTCAACAAATACATTTGGGGTCATAAAGCATCGATTCTTGGCCTTCCGATGCAAGGCATTCCTCTTGACGCAATTGCCGTAGCTGATGCCGCCACCCATGATGGAGAAACATTTTTCCCGCATGTTGTTCGTCTGTTTGCACAATATCCTGAAATAAAATCATGGATTGATACAGTGCTCTATGACAGCGCCTGTGATAGTCAACCACTCAAGGATAAGTTCCGAGACCAATTAGGTATCGCGCTGAAGGCATCGCTCAACCCTCGCAGAAAAAAACCGTGACCGAAAATTTGCCAAAAGGAATGAAAAAACTTACAGCCTATGGCAACCTGGTATGCAATGCCAACTTTGAGATGGATTACCAAGGGGCACGATACAAAACGGAGAAGTTTATTTACCAAGCGCCTTTGGATGCAAATGGGATATGTGTTTGCGATAACTGCGAACAAAAACCAATGTGTTGCCCCTTTGCTCTAAATGGACGTATTGCGCAGGTATCATTTGATATGCTCGCTCATATCGACTCACAAGATCCCCCGATGGCCAAGCGATTTAAAGCTATCATGACACGGCGCCCATCGGTGGAGCGAATGATAAAACGCCTAAAATGCGACCTGGGCGATGACAGATTAAAAAAACGCAGCAACGCATCGTTTCAAGCTTACCTTGATAAAACAATGATTGCTTTTCACATTCTTCTAAGGAACTGAAAAGGAGTCTGCGACAAGTATAAGTCTTATCAGCAGAAGTGCGTCCGAAATCCATGATTTCTCTGGTTATTTAACCTGAAGCACAGCAGATTGCTGCTTTAACCAATTTTTCAAAGAACATTGCCAAATTTAAAATGTTGGACCTACAATTTTGTAATTTATTCTGATCAATTTTAAGTTTATGCGCAGGCTCTATAATAAAAAAAAGAATTGACATAGCACAATGTGGTAAATTTAAATGCGGTGAATGCTAAACTATGATCAGCCTCTTCTCTCTAAATTATCTAATCCGCCTCAGCCCTCTCTAGCTTAAGCATTTCATCTGTGTTCGCTAATTCGTAATCGCAAATCGAACTTTCGTTCTCATTTAGGAGGT